AAAAAAAAAGAAAAGAAAAGAAAGAAAGAAAGAAAAGAAAAAGAAAAAGAAAAGAAAAGAGAAGAAAAACATGAAGAGAAGGAATCTTTTTTCCCTTTCGTTTCTTGTGTGAATATTAAATTAAACAAAAAATAAAAATAAACAATTGTTCTAATCCATGAATGTTATTATGTTTGATTCGAGTTAATATAATTTTTTAAAGAAAAAGGAAAGAGAGAGAGAGAGATTATTATATCGCCATAAAACAAGGAGGTCCAACGTCTATACAGACAGCAAATAGCAAGCAGCAAGCAAGCAAGCAAATCAAATCGATTGCATCAATGGCATCAATGCCTGAACTGAACCCTGGACCCGGATTATTATTCATGAATGTTTCTTTCTTTCTTCTTTCTTCTTTCTTTCTCCAGTTTTCCAGTTTTGCTCGAAGAAATAAATAAATCATTCATTCATTTCACCATAAAGTACATTCAAATAGGATCCTGAAGAATGACTGAGTCAATGACTGACTGACTGAGTCGAATGAATGAGACCTGCAGGGAGTTTAATTTAATCTAAGTAAAATGATCTGCTAAGAGAGTTAGAGGTCCATCATCACTGCTTTCAGTGACTACTCAGCGAGTAGGTTAACCACACAGACGTCTAAATATTGTATGTACAGTACAGTACATATATATATAACTTTATGGGATCGAAATTATTTTGTAATTAACACTCGCGGATTTGGATTTGGGAAGTGGTGTTAACAATGCCTAAACGACGACTTGACTTGTCTGCCTGCGTAGTCTAGTTTGAATGAAGAATACTGACATGAAGAACAGGAAAAGAAAAGGAAAGGAAAGGAAACCCATTAGCGGGCTTGAAGAGCCGAAAAACATAAATAAACGATTACTCAGGGACAAGGACTTCGTTCTGTCGTTTCCCCCCTCTTTCTCTCTCTCTTCTTTTTTTTTCTGACTGAGTCGACTAAAAACACAATACTCAGTGAAGGTCGAATTCATACGGTATTTGTTTGAACAGTCTTCATGCAGACGATGAGACGATGCCGATGTTTGTTACCTGACCTGATCTGAATTCAGTCAGATATATCAGATACTGATGACGTATGTAGTAATATCGAAACGATTATGTACATACGTACAGTACATAGAAGACAATTAATTCTCACTCCGCTGAAATGGACTATTTTCATGATTCCGATCTTCTGTTTAGTCTTGTCAGAAAGATAACAGTTCTAGTTCTTAGTCAAATAGATCGATTGTCTTTACACGTCTGTTGAATACGATTATCTACGAACGAATTGATCGAGTCTTCTTTCTTGCTAATAATCAGGTCATAATAATATTATTCTTTTGTTCATTACTTCGTCACTACTGTCTGCTTCATTTATCCTTTTTCTTCGACGAACTTGCCGCCGTCCCTCCGCGACGTTTGTACTTCCGTGGATCTGCGAATATACTCGTTAGCGTGATCCCCCAAATCTCAATTTTCTTTTTCTTACCCTTCCTACTCATCCGAACTTTGTCCCTCGTCCCTTTGCCGCCTTCCCAGAAGCCACTGCCCGACTTGCCGACGAGCACGTTCCGGCAGAAGCTGCAGTCTTCGGGGCGGTACATTTGTTCGCGGGAGCAGAAGCCGCTGTAGTGGAGCTGGTTAGAATAAATCTTGCAGAATATACAGATTTATCGACATACCAGATCATGCGATTGGCGTGTTCGTTGGGATGGTCGGTTGCTGCGTCGTGGCATCTGTATTATCGATCAGCATGATGAATTCGGCTGAGTAGGTCAATGACGGCGACAGGATGAAGCCAAAACTAGAATATGCTGCCAAGGCAACGTACTTATCACATGGAAAGACTTTGGCGCAACAGCTGAATCTGTTGTATGTTAGCAGAAACTATTTTGTATGGCATTCTCGTTCTGTTGTTCGACAAGACGGATGAAGAACACACCTGAACCACCTATAGCTTTTCCCGTAATGCGAACAGCGCCCACGGTGAGGAAGTTCCCGACCTGCGACAATGCCCAAGTTTTCCTTGACCTGGAGAACAACCGTTAGATTCGTTCCCTCAGACACAGACACAGCAGTCCCACATACCTTCTTCCGTGGAGGTGGACGGGGAGCAGTCACTGTCGACACATGTCAGTAATAGCTTTAACTGGCTGGACTAAAGCCATCCCATGGAGAAAGAGATCATCCGACATAACGAGTAAGACGCCACTAGACAGAAACTAGACAGGTCTACATGCTGGAGGCAGAACGACGCAAGTTGATACTCACATGCAGATGGTCCCACGACAAGGAATTTAACCTCCGGGATTTTGAACACTTCACATGTGAACCCAATCAGTAACGTCTTCAGAACCATGGGTAAGGACGCAACACACCCATTCGGCGATGACACTCGCGACATGTCGCAAAGGCACTCTCGCCTCGAACAGCGACAATGCCTGGTGCGGGGAACGGAGTCGAACACTCAGAGCAAGTAGGGACGAAGTGGCTTGAAAGATGTTAGTTTCATCTAAACTCTGGCATACTCCGTAGGGCATGCGATAGAGAAATGCTGTGTAACAAAGGAGACTCCAACGCTGCAAATTTACCTCGGCAGCAGATCAAAAACTGTGCATCCTTCGAGATCCAGATATCCAGCTCGATGGGACGTCGGGTGCATCAATTCACGTCGAAACCCTATCCATGCGAATGTTTCTCAGTCTGAATTCAGACGTAGAGAGAGAGAATGCATCCTACCGATGCCGAAAACATTTGCGCATTTTCTGCATGATTCCGCCCGGACGGACGCTGCAACGGAAGGATCATTCGTCGGTTTGATATTCTTCACATCCGTAAATTCTTTGCAGCGTTCACACTTCAACGTCACACAGAGCATCTTGACTTCCAGAAGCTCGATGCCGTATAGCTCCAAACCGGGAAAGGACAGTGAAACCCCTCGGGCGGGAGTCGAGGCAGGAGTCGAAGCAGAAGGCTCAGGCACGGGTGCTCCCCCTTCTTCCTCATCTTCTGAAGCCTCTTCTTCATCGGACTTTTCTTCGTCGGAAGTCGTAAAGTCACTCTCCGACTCCGTATCTTCTGGGGCAGACCATTCAGGCGGCCGGGGAATGACCTTGATGTGAGGCCGATCCTCTTGAATCTCCTCCTTTGCACTTGCTGTCTGCGGCTCCTGCGGAACAGGCTTTGTCTCTGCCACAGTGGAAGGGGTTTCACGGGAGCTTCGATCATCCGATATGGGGGTGCTGGCCAAAATATGCATGTTGTGCACCAGATAGTTGACTTGGGACATCAGCGTTACACGAGTGCTTTCGTGCACCCATTTTTTGAATCCTGCCTCCGTCGCTCGGGCAGCATCCCCTTCAACCTGTTGAAGTTCAATTGAACTCTTTTCAAGTGGATACAGTGGAGGCACAACAAGCTTGATGGTCTTGACAGCCCGCAGAGATTCAGGAAGTCGGTCAGGCTTGCTGGGGGTGATGGGGATTACGTAGGAGAGTCCATCGGGAGATTTTTCATAGAGAGAAAGTCGACCAAGGCGAGCCTCCAGCTGCCTCGTCTCATCCCTTCTGGTCTTTTCGGCCTGAGACTTCTCTTCAGGCGAATATTGCACGCTAGGAGCAGCAGGTGCAGGCGGATCGCTGACGCCTGTCGAGTCAGACTGGGCGACCGCTGGTTCCGCAGTTTTCTCTGTACTCTTCACGTCTTCTCTGCTGCCAAGGTTAGCTACAAACTTGATGGTTGGTGCCTTCTCTGCTATCAGAAAGCGTTCTAAGTTCCTATCAAGACTATTCATCAATCCAAGCAGGGTCGTTTGACGATTGTTCTCTAGCGAAGAGTCCACCAGCTTGTCGAATCCCTTCTCGACATTGATCTGGAAGCCTCTTGGCATATCAGGATTTGTGACTCTAAGTGTAGGTCTCCCTTGTCCTGGGTAATCCCGAGGCACATAGAGGACACACTGCAACTCCTCCATGTCAAAGGGGAAATCAGGATCCGTAGGGGCCATTCCGAATGTCAGCACTGTACCCGATTCATCATTCTGCTCTTTCGGGTGGAATCTTCGCCTTAGTTGGGCAATTTGATATTCTCTGGGGGCATCATTCTGGGCCTTTGGGATGGGTTTCGGGACGCCTTTGGGAGCAATAACGCGGCGGTTTGGCCCAGTGGAACGACTCTCTGTCGTCAGGCGTCCGGAATCCTCCGTTGCTACTTGTTCAGACTGGGATGTGTCCTCACGAGGATTCCCGTCAGGCTCTGGATGCGAAGTTGCGCCAGAAGCGGCTTCTACGTTGGGGCTGGAAACCTCGTGCAAGTAAGGGCAAGCATCACCAGCGCGGCATCCTCAAACAGCTGTCAGCAATACGATCACCTCATCAACAAGGAACATCAGTCACATGGCGAAGCAGTGCCAGCAAAGCAATCCCTTCGACCAGGGGGGGCAGTGACAAATGCATATCACAAAGTGACATGGGTTGAAAGAGACATCTCATCGATACAGAGGAATCGTATCAGCCTGAACGGCGTAATCGAAAAACGGAACCGGGCAATACCGACGGACAGAGCGGGATCAAAAGGACCGAAATGGAAGCTGGATAAAGAAACGGGATGTCCGGGCAGGACCTTACCTTTCTTGGTCCCAAAGAAGCGACACTTCCTTGCTGTCTTTCGTGGATGGGTGGGCCTTTGCTGCGGTGACGCTGCAGTCCTTTGAGGCTGAGCGCTTGCCAACTCAGCACCCGCGGTAGTCTGTTGCTGGCCTATGTCAAAATAAGGGTATCAGGATGAGCGTGTGACCAAAAGGTTACGGGCCGTCCGATTCTGACAGTGACAGGGACGACGGTCCAGCGCTGCACGAGGCGCCAAGGGGGGGGGGGGTTCAGAAACGCCTCGTATGAGGTACATGGTGGCGCTTCTCGATTTTCCACCTGGACAGCCCGTGGCAGCAGTGGAGTTGACATATGCATGGGACATGACATGGGCATTTGACTGATCATGACATAGATACAGATACGAGGCGCGCAGAAAGTCAGGAGAACATGCAGGCATTGAAAAAGAAACAAACAGCACGAAAAAGAAAATGCAGTATGGAATCAGAATGGCGACAGGACAATAGAAGGGTGCTCACCGTCTGTTTCGGCCCCTACACTGGGGTTGTCAAGTGACCTGCTCTCCTCCATCACCACCAATCAGCGGCAGAGTAATCGTAAATGCTGTACCACGGCATTTTTATTATTAGTAAAAGGCCGCGAGAGAAAAGACGATGCGACGTCGATCAGGCTGCCACCGAACAAGCTGACGGCGATAAGCCGGAATGGCACGGTATGGCGTGCATAAGAACGAGGAGGGGCAGCAAGCAGTATTGTTTGGAATTGGAATGATGTTTGGCGCTTAGGGACTCACCGGTCTTGCCAACAAAGCAATCGGGTGACCAGAGATCACCCGCTAAGATCAGAATCGCCGAGATGATAGACAAGGTCTATGATAGCGCGGGGCGCGCTGCACGGCGTCGTACGACAAGATGCAAAGCACTGGGTCGCGATGAATCGATCGAGGAAGGCCGCGAGGCGGTCAGCGGCCACGTGAGGCAAAACTCCCCTCCGTATAGCAGCCAGTATGCTCGCAGCTGTCCACTACAGATCGAGATCGACCGCCTGCCAATCGACTGCACGATCAGACGAATCTGACTCCTTGGAACGCTCTGATCGAACCAATTTGCGCACGATGCCAATCCACGGGAGGCAGAAGAATAATCACGTCCACTCACTCAAATCAACCCTGCCAAAAATGATGCTGACTTTGATAACCCTGCCAAAGTTTTATCTCTTGAGCAGGGACTATACTCATGATTACTGCAGATGACTCACAATGCATCTTCAAGAATGCATCCTTCCAACTACCTATGGCACAGCAAAGAGCGATAGACCAGGCATACACGTACTTCAACGAGGCATCGATGTCTACGTATCGAGTCATCATGACATGTACAGCATTCATCATGACTGAGCCACACAGATATACTTCGGGGATGCAGCAATGGTTCGGTCACCGATGTGTCACCATAGCACACGACTACCTCCTCATATCGATCGCATGCTGCTAGAATTAATCTTTTTGACCTTCATAAACTTGAATATCGCTGAGATATCAAGATTATCCACGACAATCAGAGTAGGATATACCCCTTTTACCGTCAGTGGATGGAAGGCGTCCCGCGGGGTCAAGCTCCGGTGGCATCGTAGTAAACGTCAAGTTGGCCAGTCAGTCAGTCGACTTCAGGCTATATTAGAGATCATAAACATGCCCAATGGCCACAATGACTTAAAGTCTGCCACTTCGCCAAACTGGCGGTGGCCATCGAGTGTGTTTTCCCCTGACGGTGACAAGCCTGAGACCAGGTAAAGCCACAGCATCACTATTGCGTGCATCGGTCATCATCCTTCATCCTTCTCGAAGGCTGCGGTGACACCACCACGCGTCGAATCAGGCAATTCATAGGATGGTCAGAATCCCGTTTCAGGTTAACTGCCGCCTGTTCTACAGAACACAGCAGGCGACAATAGTAGTGGAACCACTGTACAGTTGTAGTTCATGTATGTGCAGATGGATGTACTCCGGACAGTCGCGGCGCGCGGGGGGGTAACTCTTACTAAGTACCGTCGAGTACAGCGGTATGTAACGGGCGTGACACGAAACAGCACGATACAGGACTGCACGTTCCGACATTACGCGTGGCTGTCACGTTAGTACCATCCTCAAACGGCCGTCAAGCCACACTTGCGCCATAGCTGTGAGCTTAGCATTTTATTATTTAATAAAAACAAAATATTTACAACAGCTATGCGTCAGCATCTCTCACGACTCCAGATATAATCAAATCAGTCTCCCTCTCATATTCCTGGAAGGTGTAATACTTTGCTAATCGACAAGAATCCTCCGTAACGCAACGCCCGACTCCACTTGTCCGCCACGAGGCAGCTGCCGAATACGGAGTCCGGAGTAAGTCCGGGGTGGAAAGCGCGTCTTTAATAATAAACTTACTCCGTACGGAGTTTTACTACACACCAAAAAAAAAACAGAGTTCCGACCTGGTCAATGCAACATAACGCAACGCAACCCAAATCACCAGTCCAATGACCAATCCCAATCCCAATCCCGACCATTCCCTCTCCACACGAAAACGACTCGGAAGGTTTACCTTTTTTCCTTCTTTCCGCAGAAGATAACAATAATTCCCGAATGCAAAGTTAAAACAGGGAAAAAAAAAGGTTCATTTACTATTACCTGTTCTGGAAGGGGAATGAATAATAGAACAAACCACCGATCGCATGTGGGAAAGAAAGGAGAATACCTTTCTTTGTAGTAGTCTAGGTCTATTGGACTCTGTAACCAATTATGTAACCAGAAAATCCGTCCTGTATTGATTACCTAATAGACCGTCTAGAACCACCCAATTAAATTCAACCAAAAAAAAACAAAAAATAATAATTCCCCAGTAAGGGGGGATTTTTTTCTAAAGAAAAAAGAAAAGCGAAGAAGTGAAACTTTATTCAATCTAATAATTAATTCCCAATGGCTAAACCCGCCGAGCCTGGCCTGGCTGGCTCCGAGAGTCCTAATAAGAAAAATTTTGTCGGGTCACGCGTCTATAAAATTTAGACTTTGGCAAACCACGCGAATTTTCCGATTGGGTGGATCGAGGAGAGTGCCTAACAAAAATACGTTTATACTCCAGAGTGTAAATGATGACGATCATGATGGTGATGGTGATGGTGATGATGATTACTCCCGTAGACTGTTTAAGAAGACTCTGCTCCTGGTCAGGTGATACATTGGTAGGTAAGGCCCCCAAGTGACGGCAGGTGTTATTGGCAGGTCGGGTGTGATTATTCATTACCTACCTAGGTACCCAGGTGGGTAGGTCTATCGTGGTTGACATCACAATCAGTCACGATTATTGTTACATACATTAGGTACAGTAGTACCTAAAGGTAGGTGCGACTAATAATCACCTTAATTCCGAGTCATTCCCGTCAAAGACCCTGGTAAGGCTTTGATTTATGTGAAACACTCAACATGATCGATCGATCGATCTTAGGTTGGCGTGAGTGCATAGGTATTTACTCGATGAGTACAAAGGCGGTGAGCAGTAATAACACAGTGTACGAGTACTCCAGGAAGTACAGAGAACCAATCCAATTCAATTTCTTCCTTAGCAGAGACTAATTACTATCTTTCGACATATCACAATTAATACAGCCCCGGATGCAAGTTAGCCATCATTATTACGGAGTAATTTCAGTTTGATTCGAATTCGGTACGTCTTCTACAGTACAGTACGTACTCTAGGACTGCCGGCTCAAATGCCGATTTCCCCGGAACCCTGTAGGTACTAATACCAACTAGGTAGGTAAGTAGCTGAGGTACCTCTGGTAATTACCCCGCGTCCACCTCCGTATTCAGTCACCGGATCTACGGTACCTAAGGTATGGAGTATGGAGAGATCCGAAGTGGTTGACTGTTGACATCATTATTTCCATAAATTTCCTGGAATAGAGGAATAATATGATAAAGATCCACTCGCACCATACAGTTTGCAGCATAGCAGTACGTAATGTTGCGACCAGAACTAAATGAAAGGAAACAAAATTGTATGTACTGCACCGAGTAGCTAGGTACATACCTGTACCTAGGTATGTAGATGTATGCACCGCCACTATTACCTACCTATTAGTATATCTCGGCCTTTCTGCTTCTGTCAAACAAAAGACAATATTATCAAGAATTATCATTGACTGATACGTCGAACGCAATCACTCCGAGCATGACCTCGATCGCATATTTGAAAACTAACCCCTTATCTATCCCATTCATTCAGCACGACGTTATCATTGTATGCTGCTGTCGCAGTATTTGTCCTCTTTTGGCAGGTGACATTGTTTAAGTATTACCTGCCTAGGTAGGCAGTGCAGATAGTGAAGTTGGGGGAGTCCTCCCTGTTGGCGCTTAATAATAACAGCTTAACTATTAGTGCAATTTCGCCATTGCTGCTATACTAGAATTGCTATAGTAAAGACGATACATACTGAGGCTCAGAACAGTGCTAAATAAATGAGTACAACAAAATAAAACGCTTCGTTTGAGAGCAAGCTGCGTTTGTAGACAACAACGTTCCAGCTTTGCGATAGCTGAATGCTCCGCAATAAAACCCTGGATGATCAGTGGAGAAAGACAAATGAGGTTTCAATGTAGACAACTCGAACCTTGCAATCACAATTCATGGTCAAGTATTCAAATTACTGCTCTAACCTAGCTTGATATCCCATAACACTTTTAGGAGTACGTCTTCTACAAAGTTGTGTCTTCAGTACTAGGAAAGATTGCCGGATAGCAAGGCGCAATCGCATCTTATTGTCACTTATGGTTGATATTTATGCAGAAATGGGACATAGAATTAGATCTCCTCTGAGCTACGTCCCTACTAGCTTGACGATTGATAGACGTCAACTTAAAGCTGTCAACGTAAGGCTGTTAACTTAAGGTCTGGCCCGAGCCGCTTGTGGGGCTGAAATGCGGGTTGTATATCCGAACCATCTGCAGCATCGTTACTCGAGACTCAAAATTAATTGGCAGGATTTCTAGATCACATTTCAGTTCCGTTTGCATTCTTCTAGTACTGTTCGTGGAAACGACACTCTGGGTCTGATTGGGGGGGAAATTGCTGACGTACAGGCACCTTCCACTGCCTCCGTAGTTAACCCGACCTGTAGGCCGTAGCCAGCCCCTCCTGAGAGTAGGGGTGGGATCCAGGGCTCTGGGATGCCTGTCCAGTAGGTCATAGCAGATAGGAGTATGCTGACCCCTTCTAACTGCCAGACCAACTAGCTTTATGGAGGTTACCTGTGTCCCTTGATAGTAGAGGACGCGTCCGAGCCAAGACAGCCACCATGGAAGTGACTAAAGAAATAGAGAATTCCTAAAAAGGCTCTCGACATAAACAAACATATCATCGAGAAGAAGTTTCTAGAAGAAGCTCAGGCGAGAGTTCCTCATGTAGGCCGGCAAGCTTAGTATACAGCCCTAGGCCCTAGCCCCAACAAGTCGAGAGTTTCCGAGCAAGCGCAGAATAACTTAGAAAACATAGCACTAGCAGGGTCTGGATCAAGAAACGACGACACAGGCGCATCTCCCCGGAGATGGCTGGCTCGAGTCTTATGATCTCTACCGGCAATCGAGATCACCTACGAATTGAATTGGAAGCCCTATTAGAGGCCAACCAGCCGTGTCCAAAAGTGTTCGCAGATGCAGAACAAGAAGGCATATCAGACCATCAGTGACCATCAAATTAGTCTCAATCATCATCCAGCAAACCCAATCGCGGGGCTTTTAGTCCTGACGACGGACCCTGATGATCTGCCGTTACACCACTGGACGATAGCATTGCAATAAGCAAATTACGGAGTATTTACTCTTGTGCGAGGAAACATCTCGTGGTCGCGGGAATGTGCCATGTAACGTTCAACGGGCAGCGTTTCATCATGCTGATAGCAGAACATGATTGGCGTGTGCCTGGCTCGTGACATGACATCATTGTACATACATCATACAGTACGAAGTATTTCCATCGCCCTACGGCTAACTGCCGAGTCGGCAACCTGACAAGTTACGATTCTCGTTTGCTAGATCCCGATTCCCTAGGCAGGTAGGTATCGGCGCTCGAACCCACGAGTAATACGAGTACAGAGAAAAAAGAATACAGTACCGAACACTTTTCACAACGATCACCGTTTCATCCCTACAGGCTACAGAAATCTTCTCTCCAGTGATTCGCAGGGCTGATCGACTCGGCCGGACCAACGGGAGAAGAGTCAAGAATTGCCGAGGCGTTCTAACGCATGGCAAAAACAAAGAAAAGGCAAGACAATAATATCATAGGTTACCTTGCCGGCAGATCTGCGGAACCGCCAGTCGGAAAAGAGAAAAGAAGAAGAAAGATCCAAGGGTCCATCACAGCCTAGAGACGGAGTTGATAACAAAAGAGGAAAGAATATCCCTCGGGTGTGGAGACTGGGGAGGAGACTAGGGAGGGAGTCACAGTGTCACGCGCATTTAGCGAGATCTTTTTTTTTCTTTCCTTTTTCTAGGCGTTCTTTCCCCCCTCTTTTAAGTTTTGCAGCTCCAAATGACGTAGCCAGATTGTGGTATGGCTGATGGGGTTTCTTGTCGTTGGATTGCCGCGTGACGACGGCATTCCATCGGCAACCCGTGTCGGCAGGACACCACACATACGAGAATGTATATTCCTTCCTACAAGGAGATTCTAATCTTCAAGCAGAAAAAACTAAGTAATAATAACAATCGCACAATTCTCTTCCTTATATATGGCCCTACTCTGCATCGTCATGATTACTAATCCTGCACACTGCCTAGCAGCATGTCATCTCGGCTTGCCGAGTTCCCCATCCGCTAAAAAAAAATTCAATCCAGATTCAGATCCACCCCAACGAACTGTCTTCCCTGTCTCCCCCTACGGAGTTCTCCGTACGGAGCCGTCTCCTCCGTATGAAACAGGCTGACAGACAGCTTCTAGACATGTTCCTGCGGGCCTCGTCACAAGCAATACCGATACGACCCTCTTACCGGTGAGCCGAGTCATCCCCGCGCTTGAGTTACTCCATCGGCTTGCCGAGCTGCGGAGCAGACGGTATACCGTTGGGCAGGAACTTGGAAGGAGCTAGCTTTTTTTTTGCGCTCCACAACTCGGGTGACTACCGAACGGAATTCAACCACTCGCGTTCTCTTTTCGTAATGGTTGCAGGATAGGTTGCAGTCGCAGTCAGACTAATTACTGAGTACGCCTGTGGTAGAAAGGAAGTGATGTACTCACGTGCCAAGCTTATTCATCCTTGAAGTGGTACTCCTTTGGCTAATAGTAAATAATAATCGAAAGAGTCTGGATTCAGACAGACAATCTTTAACCGATGTTGTAAAAAAATGAGAAAGGAAGTGCCTATGGACCAGAGACAATATTTTGGTGACAATAGAACAAAGCTGTTTTGCAAAGATATTAAAACCTGTCTGTCATGGATTATATTTCTATGAGGCATATGTACGATCCTTGGTTATACCTTTATGAAGGATTTATTTCTTCTGGCTATAGTACGATTTACTAGTTATGGTGTCCACGTTCTGCACTGTAGAATTTTGTTAATATTCCTCAATCCTAAAGAGGCTTTAGGATAATAGCCAGAAAGACCGTTTACATAGAAACATTTTGCATTGATAGTAACTGTATTGGGAAACTGACATGCTGCAGGTACCTAGGTGCTCATTCCATTGCTGTTTAAGACTCGTATCCAATTCAGACAACCTCACAGTACTTCTTTTCTCTTTCTTTTATTTGACATTTGCCAAAAGTTCGTATCTTCTTATCATTGTTAGTATTTTCCCTCTGACGGGAGAATAATTTCTTTTCAAAAAAAAAAAACAACCTTTCTATCGCTAGTCAGCACAAGTGAATGCATATTCACGTCATGCCTGAAAATGCATATGCCAATGTAGATGCACACACGATGACTCCCAACTCAGTCCAGCAGAATATTCTGCAGGAATCAGCCGTTGGAGCGATCTTGCTCTGTGGGTGTAAAGAGACCACCTTTATCACCAGTCACTGAAACCGGGATGTGGTCTGTATGGGTTTTCACTTATTCCCTCTTTGCCATACTGCGTCCACATTCATGACTCAAAGCAAGAAAGAAAAATGACTAACAGGACCAATATATATGCAGTCAGAGCGTCCAGGGAGCTTGTCCTGAAGTTTCTTTTTACTTTTTCCAAGTGCTAAGTTCAATATCCAATATTGGTGCACTGATCAAGATCAATCTAAGTCTCAACTCAATACGAATCAACCAGGTCTTCCCTTCTTATAGTTTCTGTCACTGAACAAAACCCTTGTCTTGAAGAACAATGTCTGATCTAGACCCAAGCAAGGTGAAAAAGGTGCTAGAAAATAAGGTAACCAGATGCGAAGGACCATTCCGCAATAAACCAGGATCAGACGACCTAGGAAACTCGCCGATCAATGCAAATGTGCTCGGTCCAGGGGTCAATGGTACATTCAATCTCACTGAGCCTCTGCGGATTGAAACCAGCAACCTTTGCGGTGGATCTGCCGCCGTGGTCGCCATGGAAGACGCGGCGATCCTTTGCCATATCAGCCCTCAGGAAGATAAGGACGGTATCTGGAATCAACTGAGCAAATCCTGGATCGGCACTCTGAATGAGGAACCCCAAGGCGACAAGTGGTTCAATGAGCGTGAGAAGCTGCTCATCTACACCTTTTTTCGCTGTGGAAGAACTTCCGGATGGCAACAAGCGGGTCGTTCACGAAAAGCATGCAGCAAGGGTCGTTGAAAACATCTTGGAGATATGGCCGCGCGTCAAGATCCAATATGGCCACTATCTGGTCCCTTCCAGATGGGATAATTATGACGGATTTGGTATTGTCAAGGTCGCACCAAGAGGAGGCGGAATGCCCCAAGTACGGGTCATCACCAAGCGTCAAGAGCGTTACTACATCTATGAATATCGTGTTTGATAAACCACCACCGGGGAAAGTTATTGGTACAGTCTTCATCTGAGTCTTTGCAGCTGTGTCAGACTACATGTGTACGTGTATGATCGAGTTAGTATGGTTCGGATATCATTATTACTATTATCATAACTACATTTCTTGTGGACTCTTTCTGGTTAATAAGATGTACTGTACAGTACATTGAGTATGTCGTGGAATTAGAATCTGCGCAGGACTGAATGATTCATCTCCCAACTTCACGTGCTTACCAGTAGTCCAAGTGCTGTAAGTCACATGTGAGTACATCGATATATTAACTGAAACGTAGTTACTAAAAATTCCCAAAGAATAAGATAACTCTTCTAATAGAGTCATTACAGTCAACTATGACTAATAGCACTCGCATATTGAGGAAATCGAGAAATCGAGTAAATTCTTCTGCATCTACTCGAGTACAAGTCGATCCACATCGAGATCCAGAGCTATCCAGATCTTCAACTTCAAACCCCCTTTTTGTTTGTGTCAAACTAAACAGGACTGCAAACCAACATAATTCTGTCTTTTCAACACTATCATTAGTCTGATGAAACCCCTTGATGATATATCTTTTTTTTTCTTTCTTCCTGCTCCTACAAAGACATGCAGTTAATGAAGATTCCAACAAAGATATTGATGAAAATCGAAAATCTTTACGCCTAGTCCTATGTCGATTGAAATCAGAAAGCATGGAGAAACATTGGAAGACGGCAATTGCCGGTCAAAAAAGATGAATGAGTAAGTTTGATAAGCTTTCGACAAAATAGAAAGAATTGCTCATGAGTCCTCACTTGCAAATCCATTCGAAACACCAGAAACTCAGAGAGCTATCCTGTCTTTGCCGGATCTTGAACCGTGATCTTGATCTTGTTTGTTCTCACTCTGATTTATATCTACCTATCTCTATCTACCTACTTTACCCATACTCGGACTACCAATCTGGAAACTAAGTCCTGCCCCCTTGATAGGACCTTTTCCATGCTCGTATGCGAGAGTGTATGCTGACTGATTGTCATTATTATGCAGGAGAGAAAAAAAATGCCATCCGAATCTGCAGAAGAGAAGGAGATCTTGGTTAAACCCGGCGAGATGGTGACGGTGGATGCGGCGTCAGGGAAACGTCTCCAGATCAACCCAACTCGGGGCCAGTTATCGCCATCATTGCCATCACTTCGTTCTCGGCGATTATTGCCAACATCCCTCCTGATACTAAGGAGGATGATCAGTTAATGAAAGACCTGCTGAGCACTCTCCACACGGCCAATACACGTCTTAGGCCCAACGACAGGAGCGAGCTCCGTATCGTTTCGCCTATCGGAGAGGATGGGAAGCCTGTTAGTGGGTCGACAGAAGAATGCGTTCTGCGCGCCATTGAGCGTGATGGTATTTCTTGGCCAACGGTGAAGGCGCATTCGAGGTTTTTGGGCAAGGGGAACTTGATATCTATCATGACTATCCCTTTCCCAAATGGCGAGGTTCCGACGGATTACTGGCCAGAGGTGATATTACTTTAATTCATACAACCAACCTCCCAAAGCCAGTCCCGAGCGTGCTTTTAAGTCTCGATCTACAGTGGACAAATCATATTAATATTAAAATTTATAGTAATATTTAAATAGTTTATCAAACCAATGACTCTCAGATTTCAAAATTCAGAAACGCGTATCTTGAAGTGGCAAACAGGCCCAAACCTGAAATTGGGAAATATGGCCCATGTGTACCAAACGGAGTCAAATGTCAAGAGACGGTCCTCGGTATCCTCATATCTCTTAACGGGGCGAGCTACTATGACTACAATAATAGACAATGATGATAATTAGATATTAATATCTGCTCTCTCTACATACAAAACAGTACAACACAATGCAAATAAAGAGAAAAGAACAATTAACGAAAAACGCCAAGATAGAATAAGTACATAAGCGCTGAAACAGATCAACCATTTACCCATGTCCCTAACCCTGCGTGCCTACCTACCTACCTACCTAGGTAGAACCGTAGAATACCCAAGTTCCTTAACTAAAGTAGAGACCATCCACCTCTCTACCGCACATTATCGTATTATCGAGGACGAAGGATAAGAAATATCAATATCGATTAGATACATAAATAAGCGGATCGATAACCCCAGAATCCAAATCCAAATCCAAATCCAAATTGAAACTATCATTATCGTCATCATCATGGGCCCAGGGCCCTCGTTCGACAATTGGTTTATTACTTAGCCCTGTGAATAAAGAAAAGAAAAAGAAAGAAAAGTAAAGTAACTACATGTCTAATGAACAAACGATAAGATAATTAATTACTAAACCTAAGCCTAAGCCTAAGTAAATAGTAATTATCTACTTGCTATCTGCAAGGAAGCCCTGAAAGTATTTCGTTTCGAATTGACGAACAAAACTAAATCACTCAACAGTCGAGTCGACAATAATCAATTAATTTAATTAAGTCAATTTATCTGATTTAATCCTTGCAAGTACCAACCACCTACCACTAAGCAAATAAGTAACGATCCAACAAGCCAAACTGTCTATGTCTATGTCTATGGGATGTCTGCATGGATAACATAATATAAAGGTATGGATTAACTACGTAGATAGGTACGTAGATATGTACATACATACACTGTGCTGTATGCACATACGGAGTATATAGTGCAGCAGACTGAGAACTGACAAGGCCAAAGACAAAACAAGGGAATAATTAATGAAATGCCTATACCAACGCAATGCAATGCAAGAACAAGAACAAGAACAAGGGCAAGGATAAAGACAAGGATAAGGACAAGGGTCCTGCAGAGGGTCCAGAGCCCAGAGTCCAGACCAGGTTTTTCCGCTCGTTCGTCTGTTCGTTTGCGTACTTACTTCCTTACTATAGAAAAAGAGGACTTTCTTATTTCCTTCTGTTATATAATAACATACATGTATATACATATCTACAATGATTCTATCTAAATAACCTGAAGAAAGCTGTTCCCCAAAACAAAACGAAACGAAAGTCGCATGTCGAAAGTCGAAAGTCGAATGTCGAATGAAAGTTCGAAGGCCTAGAACGGAACAGGATCCGGGACCTCAACCTACAGGAACCAACGCGGAACCGGTTCATGTTTTCCAATGTTTCTTCTTCATTTCTGCAAGCAAGCAGGCGAGAGAGCATGACTTGATTAATAATTAATTCTTAATCAACTCTTACTGTAACTAATAATGAATTAAGTTTAAAAAAAAAGTAGCAGTACTGCAGTGATGATGATGACATCCATCCATCTATCATCTATCCATTCATCACCAGAAGAAAATAATAATTAGCCATATTAAGTGAATAAATTCGGCTTGTCAATGCTTTTTTTGTTTGATTCATTTTATTTCATTTCATTTTGTTAGTCGCGAGGCGCGAGTCGCGACCTGTCCATCGACCAGTCTCAGACCACTAACCACTAACTCAGCGGCCAGCCACATGATGAACGGCTGCTGGAACATGCATTAGATCAGGATTAGATCCGACTCGATGCCAACTGCAGCCAACATGCCCACAGCCTACAGCCTACAGCCTACAGCCCACTACGATTTGCGGCCGGAATCCCACCGTGCTGAACTGCCTCCTCCACCAATCATCTTCGTCCAAGTATAACACGGTTGGGAGATCACAATTTTACAATCGTAAGCACACCAGGTCATGTGAATAGATCGATTCTCAGCTATTGTAACACGCAACAAAACATTGTGGTATCAAAATAGCAGTCAAAGACAGAGAAAAAAAAAGTCAAAAAATAATAACTTTCTGCGGCCGTCATAACGTGCCATCATTAGTCAGCAAGCAACCACAGCACACGCCGAGCAACCACACCGAAACCGCCATGCCATGAAATCGTACAGGGGAAAAACACACACACAAAAAAAAAAGCAAACCGCCGCCCACGCAATGCTATCCAGAGATTAATAAAACATAAAAAAGCAAATAGCAAGAACCCGTCATTTTCGCCGTCTGTAAATGCAAAGTTCTATAACCGAGGTCGACACTACCACCCCTTCACGTGGTACTCCCACGGCCCGTAGTCATTGTAATTATTCCACGAGCTGTTCTTCGATTCCTTGTCCTTCGACGCTGCACTGCCGCCCGGCACGTTGACGCCCGCGTTCGACCCTTTGCGATTCGGTCCGGGGTAGTCCTTCAGATTGGCCATGTCGTGCGCCGTGTGGCGTCGCTTGAAGACTGCGTTCGCCGTCGAGCTCTTCTGCTGCCGTTCCCACAGCAGGTGCCGGCGCAGCGATTCCGTCAATTCCGTAGCCAACATGTTCCGCCGCGTCGTCCGAGGCGAGTGCGCGACCGACTGTGGTGCCTGCTTGACAATGATCGGCTTCGACCGTGGCACATCCGGTCCCCGCATCGTCAGGTTCTCGCCATCGTCCTCCGGAGAGCCGCCGACCGAGGGACCGTTCGGTGAGGTGAGTCGGGACCGCTGCAGAGCTGGCGTCGACCGCGTAGTGTTCATCTTAGCCGGCTGGTGCATCATCATCGTCAGCAACGACCGTCGCGACACCAGATTCGGCCGCGAGTCGACCCGCTGGAAGAGCTCCTTGTCGTCCACGCTGGATTGCCCGCTCTCCGTCACCGAGTCTTCCCAGTCATCATCCTCGTCATCCTCGATCGCGCTCTCCGAGATCTCTTCGTCTTCCGTCTCGATGGCGTCTTCGTCTTCGTGGGCACCCTCCTTGATCGTCCGGGATTCCACCTCGTCTTTGAACGAGGCCACTTTCTTCGCGGCGCTGCTAGGCTTGCTCAATTCCTCCGTGAGCGAGCTGCGTTGGGGAGCTGGAGACGCCATGTGTTCTTCGAATGAGCTCTCATCATCGCCAGAGGAACCGCCCAGCGTGAACATGCCTCCCTTTCGCTTCGCCGGAGGAGGCTTCTGTTGCTGTTGCTGCTGTTGCGTCGTCGCTTTGTCGGCGGTGCCCTTGTCGGCAGCGAGTTTCGGATTCGACCGATACGAAGAAGATACCTGGGAAGGCGAGAACCCACGCACGATGCTGGGACACTTGTTGAGCGCTTGCTGGGAAGGAAGGACGCCGGACGAGGAAACACTGGTATCAGAGCCGCCGCCAGTGACGGCATCGCTCTCGTTGCCCTCAGGGGCGGTGGTGGAGCAGGACTCGGCGGATTGAAGCGGCTGACGCATGGCAGAATAGGAAGACGACTCGGCTTCAGGAGCGGGCGTGGGCGAGGATGCCCGTGGCATCACGTCGACCACGGGCGGCGCGATCGGGTTGACCTGGGCCGACAACGGCTCGAGGCCCTTCTTCTCCTTGATGTTGAGCACCATTCGCTCCAGTCCCAGGGACGTGATGTGCTTCTCCTTGCCGCGGCACATGACCATAGGATCCTCTCCTACCACGGCAGGCTTGTAGTCCCCTGTCCGCGGGCGTTTGATGTGAGACTCTATCCTTTCGGCGTCATCGGAGGCAGCGGAATCGACACTGGCGGACAAGGGAGGGACTTCGCCGGCTTCGGCACGTAGTAAGGGCAGGACGGAAGTGTCGCAGGAGCTCTCAGGCTCAACGCAGAAGGTCTCGCGGGTCCACAATCGCCAACTCAGGTTCTCTAGCCGGCGACCCTCTTCCATGTAGTCTGCACATTTGGAGAAAACTACAGCCATGTTAGTCTCTCTACCCACCAATCTCCTCCAACCAGCACAACTTACCTAGCCACATGCCGTGGAGGCTCTGGGTGTTGGCCGTGTCCACCTTGCGGATCTTGGCCGCGTCCACCGTTAGGACAGGCGTTGATAATCGGGACGGCATCTTGACGGTCACAGATGGAGTATCGAGAGAAGCTGAAGGTGGAATGATTTTGGGGCCGCCGTCTTCCCCAACGTGTTCGTACGGCGCGTGAATGGTGAGAGAGACCGCACTCGTCTCTCGCGGCGAGGTCTTCCTTTTCCTTCGAGATTTCCTGGGCGGTCGTAGGACGCAACGAGGCCCGTCGTGATCAAGTCCAGGTGCAATGAGCACGACTTGCAGGCACCGCCGCGGGATGGTCCGACGCAGAGGACGAGAGCACCCAGCGGCTGAGTGGCGGCGAGGACGGGACTTGGTTGAACAGACGGAAGGTCGAGGCGGTTTTGAGTCGACAGCAGGCGAGGCACGCCACAGGCAGGTCTCCTGCTCGATTAGCGGTGGCCCGAGTGTGCGAGGATCGGCGAGGAATGTGAGATGGGGATCCGGGGAGGGCAGGATCGGACACAGGGGAGGAGAGGTATGCAGGACGGCGGAATGGAGGCAGAGGACGGGGCCGTAGCAGACAGCAGACCTGGAGGCGGAGGCAGGATAAGAATAGCAGGAAGAATACAGCGGAGAAGAAGAGCGACGGGCAGAGGGGGGGGGGCAGCGGGTGGTTTTGAGACTCGAGCAGGCCGGTGGCACTGTACCGAGGGACAGGATCGGGCTGCGCTGGGCGGGTCGCGGCTTCCTGCTCGGGGAAAGGGGCGCGCTGGAGGGGGCTGCCTGCGCGCCCGTCACCGCCCTGTGGGGACCGTATCGTTACGCCGTCATGACGAGCCGTCATTTTACCGGTCTGTATCCGTCGCTTACACAGTCGTTGGCCGGGGTACGTGTGGGGAGGCAAGCCACACCCCTGCCTGCTCGCTTCCGAATCCTCCCAGGGGCGAGGATGCACCCCCACGAACTGGTCATCTCATCACATTGCAGTTCGCTGTCGACAGATCAACAATAACCATACCAGTACTGACTACTGAGTAGCTACGCCTGGTCATCCGGGCAACAAATGCCGTATCGCATTCGACCGTCTGGCAATAATTCGGCCCAAGTCTGGGTGTCATCGAGTAACGCCTCCTGTCCCGTGATTGTCCCGTGATTACCCCGTGATTAAGCGATTGCCACTGCCGTTTGACGGATTGGTCGTGGGAGAGCCGCAGGGCGATAGTCCTTTTTCCCGGCGGCAATATCTTAGGTCTTACTCTTCTCTGTTTCAGCCATGGAAGCGCTCTGCCGCTTGCGGGAACGAGCAACGGTACCTAGGTATGTAGGGACTGTGCCTATCCTAGGGAGTATACGGAGTATACTCTACAAGAAGAAAGGGAGAAAATAGGCAGAATTGATTGATTTTTCTGAACCCCCGGGAATTTTCGTTCGTTTGCGCGGATCCGTGGCGACCGCATGCCAACAAGACTTCTCCTTCCCCAGGTCTCTCCAGTATTCCTTTCCCCAGACGCCATGGAGAGTTCTTCTCCTGGCCTGGCCTTCCTGAAGCAGACACTTCCCTTGACCGAGCCTGAGCCTGAGCCTTAATCTGATCGCCCCTAGGTATCCCGGTCCCAGGGATTCGGAAGAGATGCGCCAATTT